CCCCAAAACCCCAAAACCCCAAAACCCCAAAACCCCAAAACCCCAAAACCCCATTACTCTAGTTTGATAGAAATCGAGGAGATATATAAATAGTGTAGTACTAAATTACTAATAAATACTAAATGAGAGAAATATAAGCTCTCGGACAGACATGAGTAAAACAAGTTAAGGTTGTTATTATTGAATTCAATAATTTATTAATACTATTAAGATCAATAAAGAAGGGTTAACATAAGTGAATACCTCTAGTTTTATCATTATTACAATTTCGAGGAGTTGCCAGTATCATCTTGATTAGAATTTACCTGTTACGCAACCATTCTACTATTTATTATTTACATCTACTACTGCTTATTATCACTATTAATGGTAAATGCTGATTGTGAAGTTTATTGTTCTTAATCATACTAATGAACATTGAGTAGGGTTAGCTTGCTAAATATTGGAGGTGATTAACGAAAGTTGTAAGATTTATCTCCTTGGATTTAAATCTGTTCATAATCAATATTGTTTGAATTTAGATTTTCCTTTGTTTTTAGCAAAATAACCTTTTCATTAGCCCCAGTTAAATAGTGATGATCAGTACCAGAAATAGAGACCTATGATAACTCATCGCAAGAGTCGACTGACCCCTAAGTTCTTCAATTTATGTTATCTTCTTTGCTTTTTTCTAAGTCACAATCTGTTTCTAACTTATTCTATACGAAGTTCTCATTATTAATACCCTTTATAGTTTCAGACTTTAACTGCTTCATAACTGAGGCACAGCCTTCTTTAACTCCGACACTTAGCTAGCTAGCTTTTTGCTCCATCCTTCTCTAAAGGAAAGAAGGTCCACGCATTTGAGCTGAATAAATCTGTTACTTTTTTAGAAACTACTGCGCAAGAATGGGAGAGTGACAGTCCTTATCAATTTAATGCTCTAGCACTTGCTTTGCATCTAGCATGAATATTTTTTGATCGTCTAGGTATTAATAGATTCTTTTCTCCTCAGCAGAAGCATTTTCAGGACAAACTGATTGGCAAACCGCAAACTTTAGATCAGAGGGATCTTTCTTTTGTACCCTTGAGCCATAAGCATTAATTGTCAGTGATTCAAACCTTGCTTTCATTATTTTATTTATTAATCTTTACACTTCTCGATTATAATAACATGAATTCGAAAGTTATATAATTCTATGACATTTATCAAATTTATCAGACAACTTATTGAATAGCTGATTTATTACATGGGGTTTTGGGGTTTTGGGGTTTTGGGG